ATGTGTCCAAATCGGAGTGGAAGCCAGACGACTCTTCCACGGAGGAGCTGCAGAAGCTTACGCAGCCTTTCGGTACGTGGGCAGCGGGGGCGGAACTGCGTGAGCGGGCCCGGCGCGTGGCGCGGGGTGGATACATGCCGTGCTAAGATCATTGTGATGGTTACCCTCAATATACAGACACAAGTCATGGGACAAAAAGGTAACATCATTACTATTAATGTCACGTCTTGGGGCTCGGTCGCAGGCTGTCTGGAAGGGATGCCCTCAGATGCGCAGGTCATCGCGCTGCAAGGGCATCATATTCTGGTCGCCGGTTTTCAGCGCGATGGTTCGGGCTTCGGATTCGAAGGTACTTGGGTTCCTGCATTGGCATCGTCAAGGTCAGATGCAGGTACTACTGGGGGTGTTGCAGTCTTGGCGCGTACGTCGATTACGTTTACGGCACCACCATTTGCCAAGAGTGCGGTCATCATACCTGGGCGGTTGGTGGGCGCTCACATCCACTGGGGTGTTAAGGGGGGGCTGGTCGTTCTCTCATTGTATCTGGTCGACTCGGTTGGGCTCAACGATGGAATTAGGCGCATCCTCTTTCAACTGGTGCAGTGTCTTTCTTTGTTGAATGCCGCGCAGATCGATTTTGTCGTATGCGGGAATTTTCAAGATGACGTTGTCTGAGCTTGCGGATTCAAGTTTGGCGGACATCGAGGTGCTCTTTGCTGTGCCGAGGGCGGCGACCTGTCGCCCGACGCAGGTCGAGAAGCATTCCATCATCGACTATTTCTTCATCGGGTCGAACCTCGGGTTCGTGAACGGTGGTTGCAGGAGGGCGGCGGCGCGGCGCCCCGCCCCCCGGTCCACGTGGAGTTGGCAGCCGAGGACGTGGACATGAAGGTGGGGGTGCCTGTCATTCCGAAGGGTATAGTGCCGACACCGCCGATTGGCTGTGCCGAAAGTGTGGGAGACTGGGTTCCTGCGCTTGCGGCTATCAGACAGGTCTCGGGCGCCCAGGACCTTCTGTTAGCGGGGGATAAGGTGCTTACCACTGTTGAGGACGAGCTGCTGGATCGGCACGACGTGGCCGGTCCAGGGCGCAAGCTATATCAAGGTCGAGCGGGCCAGGTCGGGGCGGAGCTGAAGACGGTGAAGTGGGTTCCCCCTGGTCGCCGCGCTCGGCTTGGTCCCCAGGCGCAGGCGATGAAAGTTGCAGCCAGATGGGCCAAACACCTCATGGGCGTCAGGGCCTACATTCAGAGGTCTCTCACTGAGCTGCATTTGTCGGAGCTGATCGGCCCGCTCTCGCCCATCTCCTACAGGAATCTGGCGCTGTTTATTCTGGCGCTGGTTATTCTGGAGACAAATGCTTATCTGGAGAAAATTCAGCGGACGCACTCCGTTCTCTCGCATTTGGAGAAGTGGATTAGAGACTTTCTGGGCGGCGGCATCGGGGCCCTCAGCAGCGGCGACTTTGTGGAGCTTGCCAGCAAGATCGTAGAGGACTGCCAGGAGATGTTTAACACGGCGGTTTCGGACAAGCGCAAGGCTTAGGTGAAGTTTGCCAGAGACAACTTCCAGCGAGGGGCCAGCCGAGCGCGCGAGATCACCAAGACGCAGGAGTTGCAGGAGGTGCTTTCTTCATGGCAATCTCGTTCTAGTACAGCCTCACCATGGCGTGCGTGCGATCGCGAGATGTCTCCGTGGACTAAGATATTGAAGTGCCATAGATTGCGACTCCTTGAGTTACCTGGGGATACTCACTCCTGGCCGCAGCTACTTGACATCTCCATTGATCTGGTCAAGACGGCGTTGGCTTCTTTTCAATCAGAACAGCGACTGGCCCAGGACGTATCGGAGTGCGTGCTCTGCTCTTGCTCTCAGGCCAAGGTCTGTATACGCTGGCAGCTCTGTTTCAATGTTGCGAGGCTAGGTTTGCTTGGCCTGACGCCAGGATATGGCGTGAGATGGTAGGCTGCCCAAGCCCAGTGGAAGGCTGTCGGCTCATCACACTCATTCATAAGGGTCTGGGCTAGAATCAGGGTTCAAGTTTTCCAAGGATTGGATTCGGAGGCACCCCGGCGCTGACGTCTGGGGGCTGGGCGCAGAGCGTACCTCTACCGACTCAGCCTTCCAGCTCAACCTGGAGACGGAGATCGCGGAGTCTGCCAATCTTCATGCGCTCGCAGCGACGATGGACGCCTACAAGTTTTTCGAGACCACCCAGCCGCAGGCGCTCTTGAATGAAGCTCGTGCCCTGGACATGGACCTCAGGCTGGTATGGATGTTATTGGAATTATACCGTCGGCCGCGTCGGCTCCGAGCTTTTGGTTTAGTCAGTGAGACGGTCGTGGCTTTCCAGAAGATCCTGGCTGGCTGTTCCCACGCGTGTTTCTTGGTCTCAGTATTGTTGCACGGGCTGCTGGAGTCCATCAGGGCGCCGACGATCACCCCGCGGGCGCTGATCGACGACGTCCGCATTCAGTGGGTTGGCGGTAGCCTAGACCAGCTGCGCTGCTTCTGGGCCGCGGTCACGCGAGTCAGAGAAGGGGCTAAGGAGTTGGGCATCACCATTCAGGTGGAGAAGTCAGGCTACAACCCCTCGTCGTCGAGGGTGGCTGCGGAATGCAAGAAGCATGGTGGTGCCAGAGGCTTGGTCTGTCGCAGTTGGATCCGTAGCCTCGGGCATGACATGTGTGGCAAAAAGAAATCCAGACAACTCACGAGTGAACGTGTCGCTGGCATCATAGCGCGGCGGCGACGGCTCAGCATGCTCCAGAAGGCAGCGGGCAAGAAGGTCATATGCCTATGGAAAACGGGTATACTTCCAAGTGCTGGGCATAGGGTTGGCGTTGCAGGTCTCAGCCAACATCATCTCAATCAAGTGAGGGCCGAAGCAGGACGTCTCGTCGGATCGAGGCCATGCTCCTCTAGCCTTACGCTCTACCCGGCCACGCAGCGCTCCAAAGAGTTCGGCCCCATCTACATGGCCACATGCGACCCGGTTTGTCGGTGCGCGGCGGCAGCGCGGGCAAGTCGAGCCCCCCTCGGTCAGCTCCATCGCGCGTGGGCAGCCATCGCTACTAAGATGGTCGGCGAGGGCAAGACTTCTTGGAGGTAAGCGAGAGAACCCATAGCCTCTGCGACTTTGTCTCTTTGGCGTATTGTTTGGCTTATGTACTCGTCTACGATTCTGGTCAATGGCCGTGAGGGGTACTTCGTTCTCTTGGCGATCAGCCTGGAAGATTTGCGTTGTCATCTAGTTGGGTCAATCGAGAGGTGGCAACGCAAGCGTATCGTATCGAGGTTCGACCACCCCAACGGCGAACATGCACGGCTGTGGGTCCGTGCTATGAGGCATTGTGTTGGTGCTAGAGGTGCTGCGGTCAGCGAAGGGCCGCAGGCTTCAAGTCTACGGGCTCACTGGCCAGGTGCACCGTGGACGAGACAGGCCAAGTGCGAGTTCCAGCTTGTCAAGTCGCCAGCCTGTCTTGCATGTGGGCATGCTAGCGACACTCCTGGTCACATGTTCTTCGGTTGCGAGCCCGTCTTGGACCCTGAGGACGACGCCGAGGAGGCAGGCAACGTTCTCCCTGAGCAGTTCACCGACTTCTATGCCTACATGGGGGACAAGGGTATGCAGCAGCTATCCGGCCCGAGTGGAGACGTGTTCGAGCTGGGGGTGCGATTGCCCTGCATGCCGCCTACGCTTCCTAAGGTGCAAGGTGGACTCCCAGTGCACTTCTGTGGCGACTGGACTACGCCAGCGGGCCCTGTGGGAATGCTGTCTCCACGGGCGGCTCAGGCCTAGCCCCCTCCATTCCTGAGATCAGGAGGCGCGGCTGGGCCGTGGTGCAGTTTGCGAGGCAGGGCATTCCGATCAAAGCGGCGTTTGGCCCGTTACCTGGGCCGCTGCAGACGGTTGGGAGATCCGAGAGATATGCTCTGCTGATGGCGACCATGCTTTCTGGGCCGAACCTGCAATATGTTTTCACGGACTTGCTTGCGCTGGAGGCGGAGGCGAATTCTTGGGGCCTTGAGTTGGAGTCCGCTTCGGCGGTCCATGCTACGAGTTGGCGCAGTCTCAGATCGCCGCCAGCCAGACCCAATGTCATCTAGATCCCTGCGCACAAGGACGTGGACGATTACCTCGACAGAGGCCCCAGCCCGCTGCTTTACTTGGGCAATATGTGGGCTGACTGGTTCGCCCGACGAGGTGCTGAAGTACATGCGGCGCCGAAGGTCTATGTGGAATGCTACAAGCTCGAGATGCATTTCGCCAAGCGTGCTGCGGCCTACATTGGGTGGGTGATGCAGCGTACCACGCGCGTTGGCAAGTGGGGGCCTGAGTTCCCGGGCGTGGTGTCCAAACCAGTCGGGGCGCGCATTAGTGCGGGTGGCCCCGCACGAGGTTGCGAAGTTCTCGGGTGGCTCTTTTGTGCGCAGACAGGGCGCCAGACGCACCGCAGGCAACCCGGAGGCGTCCTGGATCTTATTGTAGTGGCCTTCGGCCAGTGCCGCCGATCCGGGGCGCTCCGACTGATGTGATCCTTCTTCGCCCTCGTCCCTCTTCTCTTTTTCCCTCTCCTCTTCTCACTCAGCATTTATCCAGTGGCCGTCGGCCTATCCCGCCACCGTGCGTGGGTGGTGGGTCAGAGGCCTCATGGATGCTGGTTGGGATCTCGTGGTTGGCTGGGACTTCTGGGGGCTTCTTGGGCGCCTCTTGGGGCTTCTTGGGGGCCTCTTGGGCCTCTTGGGGCCACTAGAGGGCCTCTTGGGGGTCTCTTGGGAGCCTCTTGGAGCTTCTTGAGGGCCTTCTGCGCCCCTTGGGGCCTCTTGGAGGCCTCCTCGCGGAGCCTCTTGGTGCGGGAGGGGTGGCACTCGAGACCGGAACCCCCTCGGAGGCCACGATCCTAGTGAGGGGTGTCAAAAAACGCATCCGCCGGAAACTCGCACCCCCCCCCCCGCCCCCCTTTCCCCGGCAGAGCCACCCCGGCAACCCCCGCAGGGGCTGAGGCTCAGCCTCGAGGCTTCAGCTGAGACTCCTTGAAACTCACGCGCCGGATCGGCTGATTTTTCAGAGCGCCGTGCCAGCCGTCGCGCCTCGACGCTCTACGCGCTGAGGCCATGGTGGAATTTGGGGGCGGCGCCGCTTTTCAGGTCTCTGAGACGGGCAGGTTCGTGATGGAGGCGCTGGGCGCGGCTGTCATTCCCGAGGGCGCTGACGACGCCGGCGAAGTTTTAGTGTCTGAGTGGGCTGAAGCTGAAGCCATTCAGTGCAATGGGCATCGCCTCCGCCGTGCAGGGCTTGCGGTGTTCTGCGAGGTCTGCGTTGCGTGGTCAGCGGGAGGTGTATCCAAGCAAGTATTGGCGGACTGTTGCGGTATCCCGAGTGGCGAAAGAAAGGGGGAAACGTTTCTTTCGAATCTTGACTCGAGAAGGCGGCGTTTGTTGAAGGGCCTGCACCCCGAGGACAACGTCGAGCTCACCTTCCCAGCTGTTCCCCGAGGCGGGTTGGTCAAAGTTTCTGCATCGGCGGCCTGATGGACGTCTATCGTGTGTATACACTGGCCTCAGGAGAGCGACCCGTGAGGGTGTTCTGGCCAGTCATTGGTGGCGACTGCGCTTGCCTCTCCGAAGGCCAGGATGCGTGCCCAATGGCCCAAGGGGGGCGACCCGAGATGGTGTTCTGGCCAGCTGTCGGTGACGGCTGCGCTTGCCTCCCCGAAGGTCAGGGGCACGAGAGCGACCCGTGAGGATGTTCTGGCCACTTGTTTGCGACAGGTGCGCTTGCCTCGCATGACTCCTTTCCGAGCGGAAGCGACCCGTGAGGGGGTTCTGGCCACCTGTTGGTGGCAGGTGCGCTTGCCTTCTGCTGGGAACGGGCCTTGGACATCGGTTTCACGCTACTATGATGTGAGGGCGATCTGCCCCTGGTGCGTTTTGTTGGTGGCGGCTACAGTTTTTGGCACATTGCGGCTGGATTGTGGGCACTACCTGGTTGGACGGTTTGGGTGGCTACCTTCGCTGGCATTGTGTGGCGGGATGGTGGTCGCCCCCACTGGGGAGGGCACGCTGATGGCCTGTCTTGCCCTTCTGGGGGCAGGCCCTGCTGTGTGATGGTGCTATCGTGATGGCCCGTCTGGCCCAGCTTGGGGGCGGGCCGCAGTGAGGGTCTCAGGCGCGTCTGTGGATACGTGAGGCTACTGACGTCGCCCTCGTTTGCGTGCCGACGGTGTTTGATCGTTGGTTATGATTTTTGGCAGCGGGTCCTCAGTCACCTCGTGAGGATCGGCAGCCGCTACATACTGCCCGCTGGTCCCCAAGGGAGAGCGGAGGCGTCGTCGAAGGCTAGGCTGGCCCGTCTGACCCCGCTTCGGCGACGCTTATTTCATGGCAGCCATGCTCTACTTCCTCCTGGTGGGCATCGGCTTCGTTATTGCCCGCGTGGCTCCCCTTCTGGGAGAGCGGGGGCGTCGCCGCCTGCTGCGCCGATGGCCCGTCTGACCTCTCCTGGGGGCGGGCCCATGCTGGAGCTGGTGGCGGGCGCCTTCTCCGTCCTCGCCTGAGGACGCGGGCGCCGTGGCCGTCCCGCCTGCTTTTCGTCTCGACGGACGGCTGCGCCAGGCCTCGTCCCTCTTCACTTTGGCGGGGGGGTCCGCCGCCCGTCAGGGCGACGTATAGTTGCTGCACAGTTTTGCCCGCCAGCCGTGCCTCTGGCCGTTCGGTGGTCTCTCTTTCCTGGCCCCCTTCCGTCTCTCCAGGCTTCGTCGTCTCCGCGGCCGTCCCCTGGAGGGTCCTCTTCCCCCTCTTTCCTCCGCCCCTCCCTCTCCAACGGGCTCCCCGCCGCATCCGCGGCTGTCACTCACCCGGGGATCCCGGTCGTTTCCTTCCTCTTTTTTGCCGTCGTGCTTCCTCTTCCTTGCCTTTGTGCGTATGCCTCCTTCTTCGTCCTTTCGTGTCTCTTCGACCTCGGCTCCTTGTCTCCTCCTCCCTCTCCGTGCTTTGGTTTGCTTTTGCGGTGCGGTGTGTTCGTTTCTTTTCCCTGGCTTCCTTCCCCCGTCGGTCAGCCCACCGTCCCCCGTGTCCTTTTCGTCTCCGTCTCCCTCCTCCTTCGGCTGTCGCTCTTGGTTTCTCGCGTCCTCTTCCCGCTGTTACTCGGCCCTCCTTGCCCTAGTCTCGTGGCCCCCTGGTCGCCAACATTCTGGACGCTTCGCGCATCTCCACTCGGCCCATCCAGCAACGATGCCCAGGCGACTCTCCTTCTTCGGGAAGGTGGGGCAGCATGCCATGGGGCAGAGAGCTTCAGAAGCTCTCGAACCGAAGCCTTGGGTCAGCCCGGGTAGGCCCGTCAAACTTTCGCGGAGCTTTCGCTCCGCGAGCCTCTTGGCTCCTTGGGGGGGTCTTGGTCTTGGGTCTTAGGGCCCTACTGGCCCGATCTTGGAGGCCATTGTTCAGAACGGGCGAAGAGTGTTTTCGAGGCCCCCCCACACTGGGAGGCTAACACATTGCCTCTTGGGGCCCTCTTGGGGCTTTCTTGCGCGCCTCTTGGGCGCTCTTGTGGCTCTCTTCGGGGACCTTTGGGGCCATATTGGGAATCTCTTGGGCCATCTTGGGGTTATCTTGAGGCCTCAAAGGCCCATCGGGAGCGAAAAACCGAGGAGGCAAAACACATCGACTTTCCTTGGTTTTGGAAGGACTTCGGCCTCCTGGGAAGGTCCTTGAAGGGCTCCGAGAGCGCATCTGACCGCCGTTGGGGCGTCTTGGAGCCTCTTGGAGATATGTCGGAGGCTATCTTGAACCATTTTCGGCTATCTCGAGCCATCTTGGATGCCATATTGAGGCTATCTTGCGCCCCCCCCCCCGTCCAGACCCAGGGAGAGGGGGGAAGGTAAACCTCCCCGACTAGGGGAAGGGATGACCTGGACAAGGAAACGCGTTAGACCACCTGCGCCCAGAGGGCTCGTCGGAGTCGTGTCCTGTTTGGCCAGCCGGTTTACGGCCTGCCTCGCTGGTCATTCTGCCAGATGTTCGCGGGCGTTGGGACTAATGCCTTGCCTCAGTTTTCACAGGCCTGGTTGTTGTGTCACGTAGGGCGGCCAGTGTTCGGCTTGCCGTGATCCTTAGTTTTGAATCCCGAGGGTTCCTCCCTGTGGGGCGTCCATAATCTTCTACCCGGCCCAGGCTCGTCCTCTGGGTTGCTGCGCCTCCCGTAAGCTCCTCCTTGAGGGACGCCCATCAGTTCACTTGCCAGTTTTCTAGGGTCGATCCTTGATCGTTTCACTTATTGCTGTGCCCGGCTTGCCTCGTGATCGGCCGTGTGGCTCATTGCTCCGCCCGTGCGCGCCCGAAAAATGTACACCTGCACACCTGCGTGCGTGCGTGCATGTGCGTGCGTGCGTGCGTGTGTGTGTGAGAGTGTGTGTGTGTCTGTGTGTGTATGTGTGCGTGTGTGCGTGTGCGTGTGTGTGTGTGTGTGTGTTTGTGCGTGCATGCGTGTGTGCATGCATACATACATACATACATGCATGTATGCATGCATGCATGTATGTATGTATGTATGTATGTAAGTATGTATGAATGAATGTATGCATGCATGCATGCATGCATGCATGTGTGTGTATGTATGTATGTATGCATGCATGCATGCATGCATGCATGTATGTATGTATGTATGTATGTATGTATGTATGTATGTATGTATGTATGTATGTATGTATGTGTGTGTATGTGTGTGTATGTATGTATGTATGTATGTATGTATGTATGTATGTATGTATGTATGTATATATGTATGTGTGTGTATGTGTGTGTATGTGTGTGTATGTGTGTGTATGTATGTATGTATGTATGTATGTATGTATGTATGTATGTATGTATGTATGTATGTATGTATGTATGTATGTATGTGTGTATGCGTGTATGTGTGTATGTGTGTATGTGTGTATGTGTGTGTGTGTGGGGCATTGTGCTCTTTTGGCATCCTCCTGATTCCCCGGATTCCCTCTTGGAGCAGTGCTGGGGCGAGGGGGGCATGACAAGTAGCGCGCATGAGAAGCAGCGAACTAATTCGTCAGATGTTTTGATGCTGTGTTTTTTTTCGAAGGCCTCGTGGCCTTCTTTTCGGTATCTTGGGCGCGGCTGGTGCCTCTCTGTCATTTCCCGGACTCTGCTTGGGGGCTGCTGGATGTCTCTTGAGATAATGTTAGGCTATTTTAAGGGCCTCGGTGGCCTTCTTGGGCCGTTCTGGAAGCCTTGGGGATCGCTGTCCCAGAGAGGCGCTAGAGCCCAGAGACATTCGGGACTGGGGGGGGGATACACAGCCGGGAAAAGTTATAGCGAAATCATCCAGACGATCGTCTTGAATGGTCTGCAGACGGCAACGCCCAAAGAGGATCATTTAGTGACATTCGCCTTTCAGTGTTGGCAGCGTGCGCAGGCGTGCACCACGGGCCAGGTCATTGATATGCAATGCTTTGGCTTGCGCGCCCAGTGGCGACATTGAGAGGCGGACGCCACTTAATGCCTGGGTGCTCTTCCAAGTTGATCCTTCGCAAGGCCGCTTGCGTGGGTGGTTCCACGTTCTGCGGTGCGACTTCGTTCCCACAGTCGGATGGCTAACGTGCACCGCGCATTGCAGACGAGACGTTCTCCCGTAACATTGACAGGCGGATGTCGCTTCATGCGACGGGCCCCGCCTGGTCTGATTTAACATCGTTTTGGCTTTTATATATGTGCCAGTTTTGTTGTAGACTTTTTCGCACGGGGATGTACATGCAGCTAAGCGTGGCGGGAGTTGGGAGGCCTCAAGTGCAGCCAGATAGCACTTGGCATTCTATCACGCCTCCGCGTGCCAGGGGGCGCGGTTGCGGATTATAAGCGCCAGGGCTGAAGAGCATCTCTTGCATATGTTTTCCCGCGTTGTCTTGCATGTGTGTGGACGGGCGTTGGGCCGCCAGGTAATCATTGGGAACCGAATGCATTCCGCACTGGCTTCCTTATGCATTCCGTTTCAGCTTCCCTACCTTCATCGTTGCGTGTCTTTCATGTGGGTGGACCAGCAGCACCATTCCAACATGCACGGGATACCCGGCTTATTTGTACGAGTGGTGATTTCCTTACCCTTCGTCCCTGCCCGCCTTCCTTCTCGAATTATTCGTCGTGCTCGTCCAGGTCTTCGTCGTTTTCGCCCCCTTTCTCTCATCATCATCATCAGCATCACCATCATCAGCATCATCATCATCATCATCACCATCATCATCGTCATCATCATCAGCAGCAACATCATCATCATTTTTCTTCGGAGCTGCCTTGCTTCATCTAGTCTCCGAAAATGCTATTCCCCAGCATTCTCTCCTTCACCATTCCCAGACTCCCCTCGTTCTCCCCCCTCATGCTCCAGCTCCCTATCCCGCTTTCCCTCCCCCGTTCCCACCCCCCCGTGCCCTGCCCTCCCCTCCCCTCCCCGCCGTCCTCTTTTCCCCTCCCGTCCACCCTCCGCGCTCCCACCCCTTTTCTTTCTCCCCCCCGGCGACCCAGCCCATCTTCGCAGTCGGCCGCTCCCAGCGGCTTCCCGCCGTCCGTGCGCCCTCCCCCCTCTCCCCTCGGGGACGGCCAAGAGGGGGGGGGTGACTAGGGTGGGGCGGGGGGGGGGTATCACGGCGGGGGCCGTGATACTTCCTAGATCGCATAGCCCCGTGTTTTTGTTGTTGTTTTATTTTCCTGTTACTTACCATGCGTCTCCTGCCCCCCGTGGGCCGCGCCCGTGCCTCGGGCCATGATTTGCGAGTTCCCCTTTTGGACGCCCCCGACCTCTCCTCTCTCCTCCCCTCCGATCGCCTCCTCGGCGCCCAGCCACTTTTGGCACGAGCGGCGGCGCAGCCTGGCCAAGGGGCCTCGGCAGCTCCCTCTCCCACAGCCG